AATCGTTTCTCGAGGTCCTACCATGCCAGACAGGTCGGTTGAAGAGCGGTAAGACTAAAAGCAGCAATTCCATGGTCCGAAGGCGAAGTCGTACTGCCGACTGTACAGAGGTGTGACAGCAGTAAGGTGTTTCCTTCAGACAACCAGCATGACAGTGATGCTGCCTTCCCACAAGGAGGGGTGGGGTTAGAAAAAGTCGACCCTAAAAATGCACACCTCGCCTTATCCCACGGATATCCGTCTCCGGCGGTAAGGTTTATTTTGAAGAACGGAGCTAACACAAAAACTACCCACAAAAAGGTCGTCTGTGACCGACCTCAAGCAGTTGTCCCTTGGGCACTGCGGTCACGCTATCAGGTCATTAAGACCACTCCTAACCCGATTTCCTTTTCAGGTACCTCTAGAAGAATCCTTCCACGGTGTGGGCAACTGGGAAATGATAACTGCCCTCATACCACTAACAACACTCAAGACCACTGTATTCATAATCAATCTCCTTCTTTACTTCCTACTATTCCTTCTACCATGACTTTCAACACTAAACTTCCTCTCTCGGTTTCCTCTTCAAGTGTCACCATGGCCAACGATTCTAGTGCGCGAAACGCTGTCCCAGGTCTACTAATACCTCGCTCCAAACTACACACTGGAGCCTTCAACGTACGTACCCTATGCCAAATCGGTCAACAGGCCTCCTTAGCTAAAACTCTAGAATCTCGTACCATTGATGTATGCTGTGTCTCCGAAACACGCATACAAGATCCCAGTGTGGTTATTCACATGACCTCACCTCGTCAAAATGGACAGCCGACGAAATACACCCTTCGTGTATATGGCGAACCGTTGGCTAGTTCTCGCGGACTTGCAGGTGTAGGCATAGTACTAAGTACAAGGGCAGAACAGGCACTACTAGAATGGATCCCCGTTAACAGTCGCCTGTGTGCTGTCCGGCTAAATGGCTCCGTAAGAACTCGGAAGGATAGGGACACACGTCGTTGCCTTTTCGTCGTTTCTGCCTACGCTCCCACTGACTGCAGCCATGATGAAGTAAAAGATGACTTTTACAGAAAACTCTCTGAGCTTCTTCAGAAAGCTAAGCGCTCAGACATAGTAGTCGTAGCGGGTGACTTTAATGCCCAGGTAGGCAGCTTAAATCAAACAGAAAGACATTTAGGTAAGTGTTTTAGTATTCCGGCTCAACGAACCGATAATGGTGATCGTCTGTTGCAACTATGCTCAGACAATCGTTTATTTTTAGCAAGCACTAATTTTAAACATAAGGAGAGACATCGTCTAACATGGCGACCACCTGCACCAAACCAACGATGGACTCAAATAGACCATATTGTCATCAGTCATCGTTGGAGAGGCTCAATAGAAGATTGTCGTTCGTATTGGAATACCTGTTTAGACTCTGATCACGCTTTAATACGAGCGCGCATTTGTCTGCGCCTCAATGGACGCAGGAAAAGTACACTAAGAAGACCCATTAGGATTGAACTGGAGGACGAGAAAGCCAAATGCGAATTCCAGAAACAACTGAGTTCAGATCTAGGCAGTTCTGTAAACGAGACTGACCCAGATGCTGCTTGGAAAGACATACGAACAGCAGTGGAAACAGCAGTAACATCTATTGGTCATTTAAACCATAGGGCTCCAAAAAACCAGTGGATTTCCTCTAAGTCTATTTCACTGATGGATTCGCGTAAACTCATCCCATCAGGCTCTGAACATGATGAAGAGCGTAAACAAATTAGATCTAGGTTAACTAAAAGTCTAAGGAACGATCGTGAGCAGTGGTGGGCAACGAAAGCAAAAGAGATGGAAAAGGCAGCGGATGTAGGCAACACTAGGCAACTATTCAGACTAATAAAAGAAACCGGAATTAAGAAGTCAAGTGTAAGTGAGACTATCTCCGAAAGAGACGGAACCCTTATCTGCTCTCAACCTAAACGTTTAGAACGATGGGCGGAACACTTTAAGGAGCAGTTTAGCTGGCCTTCAGCTACTGCACAACTACCCACTATTCCTAGAAAACCTGAATGGAACATTGAAGTAGGCCCCCCGACCCTACTTGAAGTTCAAAAGGCTATAACTAATCTGAAACGAGGAAGAGCAGCTGGTTCTGATGGATTGGCTCCAGAGGTCTTGAAATATGGTGGTCCAATTTTAGCGATTAGGTTGACTAATATTCTGGCTAAAATCTGGGAGACGGATGTAATCCCATCCGACTGGTCACAATCACTGATTGTCCCAATATATAAAAAGGAGTCAAAATCATCCTGCGATAACCATAGAGGGATTAGTCTGACTAACATAGCATCTAAAATACTAGCCTCAATAATTATCGGGCGCCTAACTAAGACTCGTGAACTGCAAACACGAGAAAATCAGGCTGGCTTCAGACCTGGTCGTGGCTGTATCGACCACATATTCACCATTCGTCAAGTTTTAGAGCACAGACACGCTTATCGGCGTCCGACAATGATAGTTTTTCTTGACTTGAAAGCAGCATTTGACTCTGTAGACCGAGAGGTTCTGTGGCAGTGTCTGTCATTGGAAGGTGTACCTGAGAAGTACATAAACCTTGTAAAGGCTCTTTACTCGAACACTATTAGTCGAGTGAGAGCTTATGGCGAACTGTCATATGATTTTACAACCTCATTTGGTGTCCGTCAAGGCTGTCCACTATCCCCATTTTTGTTTAACTTCATTATAGACCTGTTGCTGGAAATAACACTCTCGTCGACTGAATTTACAGGAATTGATCTCCTACCAGGGGGACCACTAAGCGACTTAGAATACGCAGATGACATAGTCCTGTTTGGTGAAGACGCTGGCAAAATGCAGAGTCTTCTGTTGGAACTCAGTAATAATGCCAGGGTGCTTGTGATGCGTTTCTCCCCATCCAAATGTAAATTGTTACTCCAGGACTGGCCTGCGTCAACACCCGAACTAAGGATAGGGAGTGAAGTAGTCGAACGCGTCGACAACCTCACTTATCTTGGAAGCCTGATCAGCCCTAATGGGTTGGTGTCTGACGAAATCTCAGCACGGATTCAAAATGCTCGTTTGGCTTTTGCCAATTTACGTCACCTATGGCGTAGACGAGATATCTGTCTATCAATTAAGGGACGAGTATACTGCGCATCAGTTCGCTCTGTTCTACTTTACGGCTGTGAAACATGGCCATTAAGAGTAGAAGATACTCGTAGGTTACTAGTATTTGACCACAAATATCTTAGAAATATTGCTCGCATCTGCTGGGTTCATCAGGTTAGTAATAATGAGGTTAGACACAGGGTATTAGAGAATGATGGTAAATCAGTTGATGAGGTGATAAATCTTCATCGACTGAGATGGTTGGGCCATGTGTTTACGTATGCCTGAACACCGATTACCACGACGCGCTATGACTAGTATTGGGGACGGTTGGAAGATAGTTAGGGGCGGCCAAACCAAAACATGGCATCAGTGTTTGAAGTCACTAACTTCTAGCCTGAGCCATGTTGGCAGATGCAGACTACCTGGTTGGGGTCCGCATGACTATCGTAACCAATGGTTGGAGACTCTAGGTGATATGGCTCAGAATCGATCACAATGGCGTAGGTGTATACACTCTTTATCTTCCCTTAAACCTTGAGACTAAAATTGCTTCATATCTCTCTTCCTTCCTGTACTATATCATTATATACAACCTATAATTTATATACTACTACCAACACTAAATTAACTACTATGAATCCGGTGTTCATCTTGTTGTGCTAACGAGGTATGGCAACTTGGACCGATGCATATATGTGCCTGGTCCTACGTTGTAGCTGACTGACTGACTGACTAACCTGATTAAAGCGCTGGATACTCGCTTTCCGTTCTCTCGATTTCGTAAACAACACACCCGCGCACGAGAAGGCAGTGAGTAGGACTTTCCTGACAGTGGTTGTATACACGTGGCCATGTGAGAGCATTTTGAGAGGGAGAGCTGATTCGCCCCACCCTCAACCGTACCAAAGCATTTGAGGGCTACTAGCATTGTAAGTAAATCACACATCAGCAATTAATCTTCTGTATTTATAAATGATAATTTGTAAATGTAACTTATTTGTCAACTTTAATGTTTCGTGTCAATCTCTTCACATTATTAGATGATCTGATATTTTCTTTCCTGTTTACAAAGAGTATTGAAAAGCAAACTTGAGGCAATACTCATTTGCACCGGATAGTTAGTTGCTTGTTATTTCCACAAAGAACTCACACATGCCTAATATTGTGTGATCGATGAGGCATTTTTTTCTGAGTGTATTTTGTCAGTTGAGGACATGAATCTTCATCGACTGAGAAGGTTAGGCCACGTGTTACGTATGCCTGAATACCGATTATCACGACGCGCTATGACTAGTATTGGGGACGGTTGGAAGATAGTTAGGGGCGGCCAAACCAAAACATGGCATCAGTGTTTGAAGTCACTAACTTCTAGCCTGAGCCATGTTGGCAGATGCAGACTACCTGGTTGGGGTCCGCATGACTATCGTAACCAATGGTTGGAGACTCTAGGTGATATGGCTCAGAATCGATCACAATGGCGTAGGTGTATACACTCTTTATCTTCCCTTAAACCTTGAGACTAAAATTGCTTCATATCTCCCTTCCTGTACCATATCCTTATATACAACCTATAATTTATATACTACTACCAACACTAAATTAACTATTTCACGAGGTATCGGTTAGAAGTGGTCTTAATGACCTGGGAGCGTGACCGCAGTCCCCAAGAGACGACTGCTTGAGTACAGTAAACAGTACGATTTCGCTCCCGGACTTTGGATTTGCTACTTATAATCTTACCACTCTTCAACCGACTTGCCTGACATGGTAGGACCTTGAGAAACGATTGTTCCAGCCAGTATAGCTCGATTACTTCATCACGATAAGCAAGCCCGACCACCACGTCAAAGTAGCAGCGACGGTCGGGCACAACATCAAGACGTTAGAAATTAACACCGTTGGATGTTAAAATATATATTTGTCATTTTTATTTCTTACAAAATGATATTGAGAACATTATTTGTAATACAAAGATGGTAGGACAATGTATTTCATTATTATTTCTTTTTGTAATAATAGTTTCAAGAAAGACTGACTGTTTCATTCAATTCGAGAAAACCGATTGTCATTTACAAAAGACCAAGTTTATGCTCCATCATCAATTGGGGCATTCCAACGGTTTCAGAATCTTCTGCAGCTGAAAAAAAAAACGAAGGATGGTAATAAAGTAACCATATAAGTGATAAAGGTGATCAATTAACAAATGTATGTAGAGAGACTGTCAAAACACAACATGTTGGTCAGTCAGTCAGTTGCAACGTAGAACTTCGTACGTACGTACATCAGTTCGAGTTGCCATACCACATTAGCACAGAGATGCAGTTGTCGATTCAAATACCATATTGATAGAAGTAGTAAGAGTATAAGTATTATGTGAAAGATAAGGGATTGAAGATGTTATTGAAGGAGTAAAATACAGTGAAATAAATTTGGAAAGAGAAAAAGGATACGGACATGAAGAATTTAGAAGATTAGAATTTGGCAGAACACAAAGAGTGGATGCACCTTCGCCATTGCAAACGATTTTGAGCCATGTCATTCAAGGTCTCCAACCATCGGTTGCTATCATCTCGCGAATCCCAACCAGGTAGTCTACACCTACCAACATGGCTCAGTCCACTTCTCAGTGACTTCATGGATTTATGCCATGTTTTGGTCTGGCCGCCCCTAGCTTTCTTCCAACCTGCTCCTACACCATAAAGCATTGCACGTCGGGGCAGTCGGTGGTTGGGCATACGTAACACATGTCCCAGCCATCTCAACTGATGAAGTTTCACTACTTCATCAATAGATTTGCCATCCTTACCTAGTACCCGTTTCCTAACACCTGCATTACTTACTTGGTGGTCCCAGGATATACGAGCAATACTTCGAAGACATCTATGATCGAATACTAGTAGCCTACGAATATCCTCTACTCTTATTGGCCATGTTTCACTGCCATAGAGTAGGACGAAGCGAACTGCTGCACAGTAAACCCGTCCTTTTGTTACAAGACGAATATCTCGCCTACGCCATAAATGACGCAAGTTGGCGAAAGCTAGACGAGCCTTCTGTATCTGTGCTGAGATTTCGTCAAACACCAGACCACAAGGGCTGATGAGACTCCCAAGATAAGTGAAGTGGTCAACACGCTCAACTACTTCACTCCCTATCATTAGTTCAGGTGTCGCTGCAACCCAATCCTGAAGTAACATTTTGCACTTCGAGGGAGAGAATCGCATCCCGAACATGCCTGCATTGTTGCTTATGGTGGTCAGAAGACTCTGCATTTTGTCAGCGTCTTCACCGAATAAAACTATGTCGTCAGCGTATTCTAAGTCAACAAGTGAGCCTCCCGGTAAAAGTTCAACTCTTGGAGATTGAGATGATGAAAGTGATATCTCTAAGAGCATGTCAACGACAAAGTTAAACAAGAATGGGGAGAGTGGACAGCCCTGACGAACACCACTTGAGGTAACCAATTCTGATGACAGTTCGCCATAGGCTCTAACTCGACCAGTTGTGTTCGAGTAGAGAGCCTTTGTAAGGTTGGTGTACTTCTTTGGTATTCCTTTCACTGACAAACACTGCCATAGAACCTCACGATCAACGGAGTCAAATGCCGCCTTAAGGTCAAGAAATACTACTATTGTGGGACGTCTGAATGTATGTCTATGTTCTAGGACCTGACGTAGGCTGAATATCTGGTCTATGCAACCACGTCCAGGTCGAAAACCAGCCTGGTTTTCTCTAGTCTGCTCTTCACGAGCTTTGGTTAGGCGTCCACGTATTATTGAAGTTAATATTTTAGACACTATATTAGTTAAACTGATCCCTCTGTGATTGTCACAGGAGGACTTTTGTCCTTTCTTATAGACTGGCACAATCAGTGATTGGGACCAGTCAGATGGAATTACGTCCAGTTCCCAGATTCTACCCTAAGACCTCAGTCAATCTCGTTGCTAGTACTGGACCACCATCCTTAAAAATCTCAGGGGTCAACCTGTCAGGGCCTGCTGCTCTCCCTCGCTTTAGATTTCCTATAGCTTTATCAACCTCGAAGAGAGTTGGAGGACTTACATCGATTTTCCATTCAGGATGAGTGGGGATCGTGGGTAACTGAAGTGTGGCTGAAGGCCAATTGAACTGATCCCTAAAGTATTCTGCCCATCGATCCAATCTCCTGGATTGAGAATGAATGATATGCCCATCTTTGTCTGAGATAGTTTCGCTAATAGTTGGGTTCCTAATCCCGGTTTCTTTAATAAGTCTGAATAGCTGTCTGCTGTTACCTATTGTCGTTGCCCTTTCCATCTCTCTCGCTTTCGCTACCCACCACTGTTCACGATCATTACGTAGGCTTCTTATTAGCCTTCGCTTAAGCTGACTCCGCTCTTCGTTATGTTCAGAGCCAGGTGGGATGAGTTTTCGAGCATCTATCAGTGCGGTAGATGCTGCTGAGATCCATTGTTTCTCCCTAACCTTATAGTTGACCGTACTAGCAGATATCACTGCCGTCTCCACAGCTTTTCGGATGTCATTCCAGGCTGCCTTGGGGTGGGCACAACTTGCATGGCTGCCTAACTGTATTTGTAGGTGTTCCTGAAATATATTCTTAGTTTGCCTATTATTAAGTAGAACCCTTAGAGGCTTCCCTGCAGTGTCTTTCCTACGTCCGGTAAGACGCAGACAGATACGAGCTCGCACTAGAGCATGATCTGAGTCTAAACATGTGCTCCAGAATGAGCGACAGTCTTCTATCGAACCCCTCCATCGGTGGCTGATAGCGATGTGATCTAATTGGGTCCAACGTTGAGACGAATTCGGGGGTCGCCATATCAAAAGATGTTTTTCCTTATGCTTAAAGTTAGTATTTGCAAGAAATAGGCGGTTATCTGAGCACAGCTGCAACAGACGGTCGTCATTATCTGTTCTTTTAGCGACGACACCATAAGATCCACCCAGATGTCTTTCCCTTTCACTTAGTTTACCTACTTGAGCATTAAAGTCACCAGCCACTATTACTACATTAGAACGCCTAGCTTTTCGGAGGTCAGAAAGTTTCCTGTAAAACTCATCTTTTATATCGTCTGAGCTGCAGTCAGTGGGAGAGTAGGCAGAAACAACGAAGAGTTTCCCTATCTTTCCGAGTCCTTACTGATCCGTTTAGTAGGACAGCGCATAGACGACTGTCCACTGGGATCCAGTCTAAAAGAGCTAGTTCTGCCCTAGGACTTAATGCTACACCTACACCAGCGAGGCCACGGGAAGCAGCATCAGGGCTTCCAGATACACGAAGCGTGTATCGAGACGGTTCTTTATTTTGATTAGGTGAGGTCAAATGAATGACACTACTCGGATCTTGTATGCGCGTTTCGGAGACGCAGCACACATCGATGGTGTAAGATTCTAGAGTCCTAGCTAAGGAAGCCTGTTATCCTATTTGGCACAGTGTTCGGACATTAAAAGTTCCTATATGTAGTTTAGAGCGTGGTTTCAGGAGACCAGGAATAACGTTCCGTGTACTTGAATCGTTTGCCCTAGCGGTGCGAGGTGATAAAAGGACGTGGGAAGGGTTAGTCGTGGAGATAAGAGAGTTATTATGAGTAGGAAGGATTTGAAAGTGATCAACTTGGTCTCGTGTGCTGTTACGGGTATGAGGGCTAATATCACTTCCCGGTTGCCCACACCGTGGAAGGGTATTTTTGAGGGACCTGAAAAAGAAGTCGGATTAGTGTTGGTCTTAACGACCTGGGAGCGTGACCGCAGTGCCCAAGGAAAAACTGCTTGAGGTCGGTTACGCACGGCCTTTTTGTGGGGGATTTTTGATGTGTTAGCTCCGTTCTTCAAAGGACCTTACCGCCGGAGACGGATATCCGTGGGATAAGGCGAGGTGTGCATTTTTAGGGTCGACCTTTTCTAACCCCACCCCTCCTTGTGGGAAGGCAGCATCACTGTCATGCTGGTTGTCTGAAGGAAACACCTTACTGCTGTCACACCTCTGTACAGTCGGCAGTACGACTTCGCCTTCGGACCTTGGGATTGCTGCTTTTAGTCTTACCGCTCTTCAACCGACCTGTCTGGCATGGTAGGACCTCGAGGAACGATTGTTCCAGACAGCACAGCTCGATTGCCTCATCACGGGCGGCCTGCTTAAACATCTGGGCTACCTGTTCCTGTCATCTATATATTTCAACAAGTTATCTAATATTGTTTGTTTTAATACATCATTATGGCTATTAAACACACAACCTATTCCGGTGCGTTTCTGAAAACTGTAAAACCTTTCGCTGTAAAGGTTACAAAAGGCCTAATCAGAGATGTCGTGTTTGCTGGGAACATGCAGCAAAAAGAATATACATTATTCATATATCGATTGACTGAACTGCTGACATTCAACTAGCGATCACTGAATGTTTATCATCAGGAGCAACGAAGAAATAAGAAAAGTAAACATGTTGAAATACCTTATGCTGTGAATTCGATTTTGTACCAAATAATATAATATTGAATAAAGCTAATAATAATAATAATGATAGGCAAGCCCAACCACCACGTCAAGGTAGCAGCAACGGTCGGTAGGGAAAAATGTTGGTAGTGGTTAAAGAACCACTGGGAAGACTCAAAAATAGCAAATTATAGTTCATCATCTCATCATAATTTTAAGTTTTTCAGTAAACGTTTTGTTCCGGGCCCCAAAATGCCCTGGTACGGCCGAGAATGGGAAGAGTCTACTCTCCCTCTCGAAATGCTCTCACATGGCCAGCGAATATATAGCCTCTGTCAGGGAAGTCCTACTCCCTGCCTTCTCGTGGCGGGGGTGTTGTTTACGAAAGTGAGAGGACGAAAATAGAATGTCCGGCGCTTTAACCCGGTTGGTGGACATGGCGAGTCCACCTAGGGGAGTTGGAAAACCATGATTCCAAACCAATGGTGCACATGGGCTACAGTATCCTGATGGAACGAATGGCGAATGAACCTGCTGATGGTCAACGGCTACCATGGGACTGCATCTCCTTACGATGCTCTACTGCCTTGTGGATCAGACCTTTTGGTCAAAGGCTCCGGGTGTGGGCCCCTAAGAAAACCACCTGCTTCGGTTTGGGCACCCGGGCAGTATCACAGCCCTCACAAAAGTCGAATGAGATTTGTGAGGCGCATATGTATCTGGTGCTTCCTTGTACCAATATTTATGTGTTTAAATAAATAAAATAAATTTTGTTCCGGAGACTAACAGGTTTTATTTCAAAACATGAAAGAGGTTCCGGGAGGTTGGGGGGGAAATCATGTTGCCAAGTGATTCTAAAAATTGACAAGATAGTTTTCACGTTTCACTCTTTCTAACACGTTAAAAGTTCACTTTCAATGAATATTGAGATTTTTCGAAACTAAATATTTTACGAAAAATCATCAGCTTACAAATTGAAGGTGGATACATATACACGTAATACGATTCATTATTACACATGTATAGACAACTAAATCGAGTACTGGCATTTCTTCAAGGGAAATTATTTTAAACAAATTTAATACATGTGACTAGTCCAAAGTACACTTTTTTAACCATCCAGTTATTACAGACAATGGATTGTGGAAACACTAAGCATGATGCCCTAGGTTGTCCTGGTACGTTCGAGAGTGGAGCGAATCAGCTCTCCCTCTCAAAATGCTCTCACATGGCCACGTGTATACAACTACTGTCAGGAAACTCCTACTCACTGCCTGGCGACCCGTTGGCTGGTTCTCGCGGACTTGCAGGTGTAGGCATAGTACTAAGTACAAGGGCAGAACAGGCACTACTAGAATGGATCCCCGTTAACAGTCGCCTGTGTGCTGTCCGGCTAAATGGCTCCGTAAGAACTCGGAAGGATAGGGACACACGTCGTTGCCTTTTCGTCGTTTCTGCCTACGCTCCCACTGACTGCAGCCATGATGAAGTAAAAGATGACTTTTACAGAAAACTCTCTGAGCTTCTTCAGAAAGCTAAGCGCTCAGACATAGTAGTCGTAGCGGGTGACTTTAATGCCCAGGTAGGCAGCTTAAATCAAACAGAAAGACATTTAGGTAAGTGTTTTAGTATTCCGGCTCAACGAACCGATAATGGTGATCGTCTGTTGCAACTATGCTCAGACAATCGTTTATTTTTAGCAAGCACTAATTTTAAACATAAGGAGAGACATCGTCTAACATGGCGACCACCTGCACCAAACCAACGATGGACTCAAATAGACCATATTGTCATCAGTCATCGTTGGAGAGGCTCAATAGAAGATTGTCGTTCGTATTGGAATACCTGTTTAGACTCTGATCACGCTTTAATACGAGCGCGCATTTGTCTGCGCCTCAATGGACGCAGGAAAAGTACACTAAGAAGACCCATTAGGATTGAACTGGAGGACGAGAAAGCCAAATGCGAATTCCAGAAACAACTGAGTTCAGATCTAGGCAGTTCTGTAAACGAGACTGACCCAGATGCTGCTTGGAAAGACATACGAACAGCAGTGGAAACAGCAGTAACATCTATTGGTCATTTAAACCATAGGGCTCCAAAAAACCAGTGGATTTCCTCTAAGTCTATTTCACTGATGGATTCGCGTAAACTCATCCCATCAGGCTCTGAACATGATGAAGAGCGTAAACAAATTAGATCTAGGTTAACTAAAAGTCTAAGGAACGATCGTGAGCAGTGGTGGGCAACGAAAGCAAAAGAGATGGAAAAGGCAGCGGATGTAGGCAACACTAGGCAACTATTCAGACTAATAAAAGAAACCGGAATTAAGAAGTCAAGTGTAAGTGAGACTATCTCCGAAAGAGACGGAACCCTTATCTGCTCTCAACCTAAACGTTTAGAACGATGGGCGGAACACTTTAAGGAGCAGTTTAGCTGGCCTTCAGCTACTGCACAACTACCCACTATTCCTAGAAAACCTGAATGGAACATTGAAGTAGGCCCCCCGACCCTACTTGAAGTTCAAAAGGCTATAACTAATCTGAAACGAGGAAGAGCAGCTGGTTCTGATGGATTGGCTCCAGAGGTCTTGAAATATGGTGGTCCAATTTTAGCGATTAGGTTGACTAATATTCTGGCTAAAATCTGGGAGACGGATGTAATCCCATCCGACTGGTCACAATCACTGATTGTCCCAATATATAAAAAGGAGTCAAAATCATCCTGCGATAACCATAGAGGGATTAGTCTGACTAACATAGCATCTAAAATACTAGCCTCAATAATTATCGGGCGCCTAACTAAGACTCGTGAACTGCAAACACGAGAAAATCAGGCTGGCTTCAGACCTGGTCGTGGCTGTATCGACCACATATTCACCATTCGTCAAGTTTTAGAGCACAGACACGCTTATCGGCGTCCGACAATGATAGTTTTTCTTGACTTGAAAGCAGCATTTGACTCTGTAGACCGAGAGGTTCTGTGGCAGTGTCTGTCATTGGAAGGTGTACCTGAGAAGTACATAAACCTTGTAAAGGCTCTTTACTCGAACACTATTAGTCGAGTGAGAGCTTATGGCGAACTGTCATATGATTTTACAACCTCATTTGGTGTCCGTCAAGGCTGTCCACTATCCCCATTTTTGTTTAACTTCATTATAGACCTGTTGCTGGAAATAACACTCTCGTCGACTGAATTTACAGGAATTGATCTCCTACCAGGGGGACCACTAAGCGACTTAGAATACGCAGATGACATAGTCCTGTTTGGTGAAGACGCTGGCAAAATGCAGAGTCTTCTGTTGGAACTCAGTAATAATGCCAGGGTGCTTGTGATGCGATTCTCCCCATCCAAATGTAAATTGTTACTCCAGGACTGGCCTGCGTCAACACCCGAACTAAGGATAGGGAGTGAAGTAGTCGAACGCGTCGACAACCTCACTTATCTTGGAAGCCTGATCAGCCCTAATGGGTTGGTGTCTGACGAAATCTCAGCACGGATTCAAAATGCTCGTTTGGCTTTTGCCAATTTACGTCACCTATGGCGTAGACGAGATATCTGTCTATCAATTAAGGGACGAGTATACTGCGCATCAGTTCGCTCTGTTCTACTTTACGGCTGTGAAACATGGCCATTAAGAGTAGAAGATACTCGTAGGTTACTAGTATTTGACCACAAATATCTTAGAAATATTGCTCGCATCTGCTGGGTTCATCAGGTTAGTAATAATGAGGTTAGACACAGGGTATTAGAGAATGATGGTAAATCAGTTGATGAGGTGATAAATCTTCATCGACTGAGATGGTTGGGCCATGTGTTTACGTATGCCTGAACACCGATTACCACGACGCGCTATGACTAGTATTGGGGACGGTTGGAAGATAGTTAGGGGCGGCCAAACCAAAACATGGCATCAGTGTTTGAAGTCACTAACTTCTAGCCTGAGCCATGTTGGCAGATGCAGACTACCTGGTTGGGGTCCGCATGACTATCGTAACCAATGGTTGGAGACTCTAGGTGATATGGCTCAGAATCGATCACAATGGCGTAGGTGTATACACTCTTTATCTTCCCTTAAACCTTGAGACTAAAATTGCTTCATATCTCTCTTCCTTCCTGTACTATATCATTATATACAACCTATAATTTATATACTACTACCAACACTAAATTAACTACTATGAATCCGGTGTTCATCTTGTTGTGCTAACGAGGTATGGCAACTTGGACCGATGCATATATGTGCCTGGTCCTACGTTGTAGCTGACTGACTGACTGACTCACTGCCTTCTCATGGCGGGGTGTTGTTCACGAAATCAAGAGAACGGAAAGCGAATATCCGGTGCTTTAACCAGGTTGATGGATACAAAGGATCCAATTAGGGAAGTCAGAAAATCCTGATTCCAAACCAGCGGTGCACATGGACTCCAGGATCCTGTGGAAAATCTTGAGGACGTTAGATCCCCAGAACTAATTTGGAAAAGGTCCGAGTTTTGTCATTTTATTCTGAAAATTCGGATTTTATGTTTTCGCGCCAATAGACGCTTAGTTGACGTAAAGCTTACATTCCCCACTAGGAATTCCTTGACTGTCATTGGTTGACGGATTATTTTAGTACGCTATTTTGTGGCTCTCCCAAAGGTGTTTCTATCATTGTATAAATAAACTTGATTTGTGTGCTTAGTGACTTCGTATTTTCTGGGTGCTTGTAGAATACACTCTCTACACCTCATCAAGACTTGTTGATCTAGTTAGAGGGGTTCGCGGACTATGGATTAGAATAGTCTATCGTGTCACTGTATCTTTGACCTTCGTTCCGTTTACCGAGTAAGGTGAACTCGTAATAGCATCAAGCATATCGGAAAAAATGGTGTATTAAACTATTGTTGGTCACCGGCTATCATGGGACTGCGTCTCTTGACGTTGCTCCACTACTTGGTGGATTAGACCTATAGGTGAAGAGCTCGGTGAGTGGCTTCCTAAGTAAAATCATCTGCTTCGGTTTGGGCATAAAGTCAATATTCCAGCCCCCATACATAAATCGAATGACGAAGTGTAGTATATATATATATATATATATATATATTTGGTGCTTCTTTGTACCAATATTTACATGTTTTAATAAATAAATAAATATGTCATAATCAGAAGGGGTTCTGTGAAGATTTCAGTATTTTTCATAGTTGAAAGCATGAGTCAATTGAAGCTAGACCACCCTAGAAAACCTGGAAACACTTGACGGCCTATTGTGCGACTCCTTAGCAGTGCGCACTCACCATTCCGCCTCGCAAGACTCAAACCCAGGTTCTATCAGTCTCGCGTGCGAGCGCTTAACCACTAGGCCATTGAGCTGGCCGGGATCTAACGGTGTTAATGTATAACTTCAACCAATCCACGAAGTTGAGCAACCGTCCATCATCGTCTTCAGTGAGTTACTATCTCACGACAGACCTGGTTGAACTCTACTGGTCACTGCTTCTCACTAGAACTCCAGGAAATATCTCTTGAAGTCAGTCACTAGTGAGCATATGATTATTATCAGAAGGGGTTTTGCGGAGATTTCAACTATATAATAGATCAATATGTTACTATACAAAATCTACTTACGATTTATAAAGTCAGCTATATCAATCTCATCTAAACTCCCATTTAATTGACTAGCTAAAGGATGATAAGAATATAAACCAGGTAGACGTGGTTGAATACGTTGCATTATATGTTGTTCCATAGATAGACGTAATGGTGCGTGTAAACCTTGAGTAGAAGCTAAAACTCTCATTCTATTCGCTTTTTCAGCTGCTTTACCAAATTTTGCAAGTGATTCAGCTACTGGATGTGGAAAGTTAGTTGAATCCTCCACTTTAGACCCTGGGATTGCAGCCAATGATGATGCTTCTGCACTTGACCATACAGTAGAACCAATTACATCGCCTAAACTGTTATAGACACATACGAAAAATACCAAAAAAAAGACAAAGTTACATGCTAATCATTTGTAATTGAGTCAATGTTTATTAAGTCTCAAAATAATGAAACTGTCTTGAAGATTATTTCCTGTTTGAGGATTAAAACGGTGTTTAAGACTGCAGATAAGTTGACAGAACGTTTCCTACTTAAGAAAGAGTACAGTATATCAAAGTATGCATCATCTGTTCATGTTTATTGAACTTTAATTAAGGGTGACCTAAGTATTCAATTCTCAACATAGATGTAATTTATTTAGAACCACATAGATTTTAAATGTATGACATGAAGTATATACCAACTTGTAAATAATTACCCCAGTCAGTCAGTTAGCGACAACGTAGAACCAGGCACATACATGCATCAGTCCAGATGACCATAACCTCATTAACCCAACAACAACACCAGTTCCTTTTATACTACTTATGTAGATGTGATTCGATGACCGAAGTTTTCACTCAAATTTGATGAGTTAAAGGTTAACACTGAAAAATGATGTGTCTCTACTTTGATCTCATCAGACGTAATATACAAATAACAATAGATATAACTAATAACTTAGTATACAAATAACTACGTTTTTGAAATTAGAATGCTACTACTAAGCCATGCAGCTTTTTGAGTTCAATTGACATATTGTCCTCCTGTGCTCCAATGACCATTAATATAGTATAAAATATTAGATTATTTAGAAAACGACTTACCCAGTGTACATTAATGGTCGAACAGGGAATTCAGGATGCAGCATTTTGTTTCCTTCTGACATCTTTGAAGTCTTGTAAAATATTAAAAAAACGCAGTTATTTGATAGGATTCGTTTCAAGACCAAAGAAATTAAACAAGTATTGACAGACAAGAAGTATTGTTATCCTTATGTTTTCAACAGCAAACATTATTAAGTTACAAATTAAAGCAAAACCTGAAAAAATTATTTTTTCATTTGCACATTTAACCGGACAGTATACTCCAACACATCAGTTAGTCAGTCAGTACGTAACAACGTAGAACTTCGTACGTATGTACATCAGTTAGAGTTGTCATACTACATTAGCACAGAGATGCAATTGTCGATTCAAAACCCATAGTAGTAGAGGTAGTAAAAGTATTGCGGTGTGGGTTGCTTATATCCAAATAAGTAGTATATGACGATGGTCAAACAGAGAATGTATTTCACTAGAAGATCGATAAGAAAAGAATGCAAACGAAACGCAATTGGTATGAGAATGCATGAACAATAATAATGGGAGACCATGTACTGATATTTGCAGAAGGAATGGTCAAGATTGAGACAATTGATTGATAGTTTGGAAATTAACAGTTTACTGTATGGTTGGCAGATTTTACTGAGATAGTCTACAATTTTCATGTCAAATATGTTCGATTATCCGCGCCCCTTTTCCTGTTCACTACAGCATAAGCACTAATCGGAAAGATTAGGGTTTGAAAATGTTATTCAAGGGGTATAATCCAGTTAAATAAATTTGGAAAGAGAAAAAGGATACGGACATGAAGAATTTAGAAGATTAGAATTTGGCAGAACACAAAGAGTGTATGCACCTTCGCCATTGCAAACGATTTTGAGCCATGTCATTCAAGGTCTCCAACCAACGGTTGCTATCATCTTGCGGATCCCAACCAGATAGTCTACACCTACTAACATGGCTCAGTCCACTTGTCAGTGACTTCATGGATTTCTGCCGCATTTTGGTCTGGCCGCCCCTAGATTTCTTTCAACTTAGTCATACACCATAAAACATCGACCGCCGGGGCAGTCGGTGGTTGGGCATACGTAACACGTGCCCCAACCATCTCAACTGATGAAGCTCCACTACTTCGTCAACTGATTTGCCATCCTTACCTAGCACCTGTTTCCTAACAAACGCATTACTTACTCAGTGGTCTCGGGATATACGATTAATATTTTGAAGGCATCTATGTGTTATAACTTGTGACCGAGTGGATGCCTAGTTGATGTATGACGTGCTAAGACCGCCAATCAGAGCAGCGAATTATCGATTGGAACAGTGACACACGAAAACCGTACTAGCAGTCTAGATTACGTATCGGTTCTGCTTTCTGCCTAGCCCAGCCAGTTAAGTCCAGAACGCCAATAACAGCCTCCGCAGTATGAATCATTGTATTTCAAACATACTGAGTTTATATACCACATCGTACCAATAAAATAGAAAATAACATTTGTATAAGATTTAGCCAAATGTGGCTGTGAATGTGGGAGGTAGCAATTAATAGACTAAGGATAACTCAAGAATGGTAAATCGTATAATAAGTCTACAGATCAAAGTAAAGCTTATAATAAGGGGAACATGAATATGAATAGTTTAGTTATTTAGCGATTATACGATAAAAGTGTATGCATAATATTGGTCCATAAATGGATCCCAAAGTTACCATTCACTATTGTTATCGGGACATAACACTATGGTTGAATACTGGTAACCTACGAATATCCTCTACTCTTACAGGCCATGTTTCACTGCCATAAAGTAGGACGTAACGAATTGCTGAACAGTAAACCCGTCTTTCGGTTGCTAGACGGATATCTCGCCTAAGCCATAAATGACGCAAGTTGGTAAAAGCTAGACGAGCCTTCTGTACACAGCCCCCCAAATGCCCTGGTACGGCCGAGAATGGGAAGAGTCTACTCTCCCTCTCGAAATGCTCTCACATGGCCAGCGAATATATAGCCTCTGTCAGGGAAGTCCTACTCCCTGCCTTCTCGTGGCGGGGGTGTTGTTTACGAAAGTGAGAGGACGAAAATAGAATGTCCGGCGCTTTAACCCGGTTGGTGGACATGGCGAGTCCACCTAGGGGAGTTGGAAAACCATGATTCCAAACCAATGGTGCACATGGGCTACAGTATCCTGATGGAACGAATGGCGAATGAACCTGCTGATGGTCAACGGCTACCATGGGACTGCATCTCCTTACGATGCTCTACTGCCTTGTGGATCAGACCTTTTGGTCAAAGGCTCCGGGTGTGGGCCCTTAAGAAAACCACCTGCTTCGGTTTGGGCACCTGGGCAGTATCACAGCCCTCAAGCAAATCGGATGAGATTTGAGAGGCGCATATGTATCTGGTGCTTCCTTGTACCAATATTTATGTGTTTAAATAAATAATAATAAAGGTGTATACACTATTTGTCTTCCGTTAAACCTTGAGTTTAAAATTACTCTGTTTTCTTTACGAAATAATTCTCCAACTTTGCATTATGCCCTAATAGGCAATCTTTTTTATACATTACTATCGTTGAAGTAACTGCTCCCATGCATTAGTGTTCACAAAGTATGGCAACTTGGACAAACGTATATATGTGCCTGGTTCTACGTCGTAGATTACTGACTAGTGTACAACTTACGTGAGGTCTAAACTTGGAAAATGAGCTCAGGTTTCAAGCCCTTGTTTAAAATTAACTCAGATATTTTGGAAAAATTACAGAGGGCAGCTGTTCGGTGAATTCCAAAAGAGCGACTTGAGAAGCAAAATATTTTACCTTTACTCCACAGCAGATTAAGTGAATCGATTTTATTGTATAGAGTACTAAGCAATAACTTCAGACCCGATTTATTTTCGTTTTCTTCCAACAAGATCAGTACAACTCAGAAAACAAAAACAAATAACGAACAAAATACCCATGGCATACAAGTTTTACATCGAGCAGACAATCTTTGAAGCCCTTCACCCAAAATGGTTGCGTCCTCATCTCCAATTGACTCGTTTAAGAAAAGACTTGACACTCAGAAGCTTACAAGAAAGGAACTAACAGGCCGTACGGCCTTCTGTCCTCAATACACAAATCTGAATGTGAATAACTGGATCTCAAGTAGGTCTGAGGATTATTGTAGACATATTTAGAATGACTAAGATTAAGAGCGAGAGAGTAAGACTAATACCAAGTGGACACACTACATCAACTAATGACCACAGTTTTAGACACTTACAAAGCAAACGTTCGAAATCCCGGGAGTGCCGAATGAACCTCAGTGTCCAATTCCAGCTTCATTTGAACTATTTAAAACTATATGTGATTCAGGCAGAAGGATGTTATCTCTGCACTAGCCCAGCATTCTAGACCTATCTATTCTTTTTAAAGTTCCTTTGAGTACGCGTCCTTCTGTCATCAATTATTCAATGTGCACTTGTACAATGTATCGTTAGGCCGACGCTTATAGACTTGGAACATAATCCGTCATTGATAGACCTTGTCCTCACACACCACTGTGAAGATATCGTCGACATTCAACACCTTCCTCCACTGGTGAATAGTGACCATGTCGTACTTTCCTTTAAGTTCCGGATACATGGTATAGAATTTGCATCTGCTCCACCCCGTCCTAATATCTGGAAAGCTAATATTCCGGCAATAAGGGACTATTTTATCTCAATTGACTGGTCGGTCGATGCTGATGGATCGATTGATGATGCATGGAATAGGTTCAAGTCTACGTTCGAATCCGTAACTCAACCGTTTATCCCATGGTCAGCACGTAAGCTATCATATTGCCCCCCATGGATTAATAAGGAAACCCGGAAGCTGTTGAAGCGTAGGAAACACTTCTGGGACTTGTTCTTGTCAACAGGTCAGGCATCATTTAAGTGCGAATATAAAAAAATCCGGAATACACGTAAAAAGACCATAGCTAAATCTCGCATGGCTCACGAACGACAGTTGGCATACGATAGCCGTACCTGTCCGAAGCGACTGTTTTCGTACGTTAAAAGGCGGACGAAACGTAGTGATAGTATCCCCTCATTACTGTTAAGCGAAAATTCAGCTTTATTGGCTGAATCTGATCTAGCGAAAGCGGAGTTATTTGCTAACTATTTCAGTGAAGTCTACTCTACGTGTAGTGTTACAACTACTTGTCCCGTTGACAATGAGATACCAGCCATAGGACCTTTGCACGTGACAGAGGATATTGTTCTTCTTTTGATAACTAACCTAAAACATTGTAAGATACCGGGCCCCGATAGGTTACACCCACGTTTGCTGTCGTCGCTTGCGGACATTATCTCAAGACCGCTCACGATGCTCTTCAACATGTCCCTTTCACAGGCTCAACTACCTAGAGACTGGAAAAACGCCATAGTTAGTCCTATATTTAAGGATGGTCAGAGACGGATCGTATCTAACTACCGGCCTGTTAGCCTGACCAGTGTAGTAGTTAAGTTACTTGAAAAATTAATTCGGGTTAAGCTACTGAGCCACATAGATTCGTACAATCTGTTAACTCCCGAGCAACATGGGTTTCGTAACAAGCATTCATGCTTGACTAACTTACTCATTGCGAGAGAGGATTGGACAGCTACTCTAGACAACGGCCAGTCTGTCGACGTGATATTCATAGATTTTAGCAAAGCGTTTGATAAGGTTTCACACTTAGGTCTTATGCAAAAGCTCTCGAGCTTTGGTATAACGGGTGCTATACAGGAATGAATAGGAAGCTTCTTATGTGACCGCAGACAGAGAGTGAGGGTCAATGGAACGCTATCCGAATGGAAACCGGTCAAAAGTGGTGTACCCCAAGGCACCATCTTAGGCCCTTTACTTTTCCTTCTGTATATTAATGAACTACCTTTATTACTTAAGTCGTCGACGTTATTGTTTGCGGATGATGTTAAAATCTGGAGAACAATAAGAAATGAGACTGATCGTTGTTATCTGCAAGCAGATTTAGACGAATTAGTTAGGTGGGCTCATGATTGGGGCCTGGAAGTTAATTCCAGGAAAAGCGTGTTCATGCACATCGGGCACGATATTAGTTACCATTATACCATTAATGGTACATCTCTGCCACGCGTTCATGAGCACAAAGACTTAGGAGTAATTATAAGTCACGACTTAAAAACTGCTACGCACTGCAATGCGGTTGCTTCCAAAGGCTATCGCGCGCTATGGTCGCTTCGCAGAGCATTTAAATGCTTTGACGAGGATATGTTTCGAATTTTATATCCCACCTATGTAAGGCCACACTTAGAATATTGTATCCAAGCAGCTAGCCCTTGTCTGATAAAGGATACTAAATCGCTTGAGCGTGTCCAGCATGTAGGGACAAAATTAGTAGAGGGTCTTTCTAAACTCCCTTACGATGAGCGTTTAAAACGTCTAAATCTTTTCCCCTTATCTTATCGTAGGACGCGAGGTGACCTTATACTGGCATTTCGTATCTTTAATTATGATCTGGGTGTTAATATGTCTTACCTTTTTGCTCCCTCCAGCACTAATAATCTCCGGGGTCATAGCAAGAAGGTTCTGAAACCGCGATCTAATAAACTAAAGGTGGGGTCCCGTTTTTCTCATCGAGTGGTCAATGACTGGAACGCTTTACCAGAACAAGTGGTATCAGCACCATCAGTGAACATTTTCAAAAAGAAGCTGGACCTTCACTGGAAGGAAATCTGTCAGGATTAACACAGGTTCATCAACCTACTATCCTTATTACTGAAGACTGAAGACTGAAGGAACAGCCATTACAGCATGTTGTGTAGAAAGCTTTTTGATTTGATCGTAAATAATACCAAACTATATTTTAATAGATCAAAAGCTTGTAAACTGAGTAGGCTGCAAAACAACTAGCTACTTTGCACAAACTTGGACGATTAATTAGCTATGCATATTTTTTCACGTGTGTATATTTGTGATTCAATTGGTTGTATATAAAACCGTGGTGAATAACTCATACATTTACTTCGTAACTAAGTATCTTATTTCGTGTTTAAATCTGTTATAACAACGCAGTACAATTTTATTCTGGTTACTTCACATTTGACTTCTCACTTGTGTCATGCAGAAGTTCTAGACTAATTGGAAATAGCAGTGTAGTTGTAAATAACTCCCCAAAATCAATAGCTCATCAAGTGTTCGATATTGGATGATGACCACGTTGTTTAAGTGGACTTGTTTAGCTGAAGGCTTTCGGTCATGCATCCGCACCAGATCACGATGCAACACGGCGTGGGACACAGCCAGCTAATTCGTTAGATTATTTTAAGTTCACATCTCAGTTCACTTCTCAACAGATTTTAGTGGATGAGCCTATAGTTTGTCGAGGAATCTTCTACATCTTGAAAAACCTATTTCATTTCCATCCGAAAAGCCAAAGAGTTTATTAACAGATAATTTTCGTGTAACATCATTGAAAACGAAAGACTACAGTTGAGCATATTAGCTCATGCTCATAATCACATTAAGATACAACACATATTGAAGGGTTCAAATGGTTCAAATGGTCGTGGACGGAATAGAAGAAGCTTTCGCTTAACGGGCTTCCGTGTCTAGTAGCAGCGGATCACCAATACCTCCAGGCAAAAACATAGGTATATTAACGATAATAGAGGAAAAAAATGAATTTGGTATTTCAAAATAGTATGTTATCCTTAGACCTTAAGAATAAGTCAAGTTTTCTCTTACAGGACTCCTGAAAAGTCGCTTGCACCAGCTCAGTCGGCAGAGAATTGCAGCATTTGACAAGTCTTACGCGGTAGAAGTTGTGTCTGCAGTCTGTTCTGCTATGTTGGGTCTCCAGTTTCTGGGTGTTACCTCTTAGGTTAATGTTGCTACTTAGCTTAAGAAGATGTTTAAGGGGATGACCAGAAATGTTAAGGATACTCTTAGTCATAAGGTCACCTCTAAGACGCCTGTACTCTAACGGGTAAAGGTTAAGTGAATGGAGGCGCTGTTTATAAGGTCTGAATTTGAATCCCCGAACTGATTTCGTGCCTCGACGTATGATACGTTCCAGAGTGTCCCTATTCTTTTGGAGGGAGGGAGGAAATACTATGTTTCCGTACTCTAAATGAGGATAGATAAAACTGTTGAAGATTATGTGGAAAGTTCTTCCGTCAAACTGGCCAAAAATGCACTTCAATGTTACCAGTGCAAAGTTTGCTTGAAAGGCGTTTTGTCACAGTTCGCATACGACTTCAGGTCGTAGGGTACCAACACTCCTGAATCTTTTTTGACTTAGGAAACTTCTAGAGAGGAGTTTCCTAAATTGCAACTGTAGTCTGCAACATGTCGCAGATGGACTACATTACATTTTGAAGTGTTGAAGGTAATTCCGTTATCGTCTGCCCACCTTTGAAGTCGGATCAGATCTTCCTTAAGTGACAGTCTATCCTCCTGGTTGCGTTTCTCTCTCCAAAGTTTCTCATCAGCAAAAAGTAATAAGTCAAGCGATACCTGTCGTGGAAGATCGTTTACATAAACCAAGAAGAGGTCCTAATAACGTGCCCTGGGGGGCGCCACTAGGACATTCCATAGCCTGAGAGAGAGTGAAGTTAACCCTGACATTAAAATGTTAGTTTTCTGGATATGAGGCGAGTCAGTCAATTAGAATTGGTTTGATACCTAATCGTTTGAGCTTATTGATAAGACATATTTGGTTGACCCTATCAAAAGTTTTTGAGAAATCGAGATTAATTACGCCAACCTTCCCCTTGCGATCAAGTGTGTTTGTCCATCTGTCCACCGCAGTCAGCAGGGTGGTTATGCAACGGTGATCCTTCCTGAAACTATGTTGTTGGTGTGAGAAGTTTAAGGACAATAAATAGTCGCTTATACCATCGCATATCAGGGAGTCCATATTTTTTGAAGGTATAGAGAGAAGAGTCATCGGTCGGTAACTTGAAGTTTCTTTGCGCCGACCTCCTTTGAAAACTGGTGTGATATGAGCCAGCTTCCAAATTTCGCATAGTTTGCCTCGGTTTAGCGAGTGTGAGAATATCACGTTAAGCGGTGTTGCCAGAATTGAAGCTGCTTCTCTCAGTATAGCAGAACAAACCCTATCCTAACCAGGAGAAGTATCTTCTCCTAGGTGCTGCAGTTATCGGAACACCAAGTCGGCGCTCAGGTTTACTCCAGAAAGTTCTATGAAGTTGCAGATGAAGCTTTCACCAGTATAGTTGATGCGGGTCGGTTGTGATGTTCGAAAGTATTGTTCAGCCAAAAGGTTAGCGGCATCACCATCTTTATTGGTCGGGCCATTAAGACCTAGCAGTTGGGAAATCCCAGTTTTGGCTTACCGAAGGGAAGCATCATGACGGAATAAGCTTTTCTGATTGAAGACAAAGTTATCGATAAGCTTTATCTGGTACTGGAGCATGCTTTCTCATATCGCCTTTGTGCATATGTTCATTATATATTTGTATTGCACGTACGTGCCGTTGTTATCAGTTCGTTTGTATTCTGCCCATCAGTGCCCTTTGCAGCTTAGCAAACGAAGAGTGCGATTCTTGTTGATTGAAGGTTGCCTGCAGCTTTTGGGAACTATTTGAAGAACTGACTGCTTTGTAGCACATAAGAGCACGTGCAATAAGAAATCCCAATGATTATCCACTTCACGTTGAGGTTGAACATCTCAATCCACCTGTTGTAGATAGACGTGTAAAGCTGATACATCCAACACTATAGTACTTCAGATTTCTTTTGAATCCTTCAGAATTTGCTCTCATTGAATAAAATATGAAGTCGATAAATACTATAATCTAAGACATAAAACTAAAAAGGGACCAATCGGAATATTTGTGGTTCATAATTATTGTGATTTTCATTCTGTTTTACCTGTTCAATATAATAGGCAACCTTGAATTGCTATGTTCAGTGTATCTGTGTTTCATTCAAAATACATGGGTTTCTTTCGACTTACTTCATAGCTGATTAATTGATGATGAAAAACAGATTTGAACCAGTAGCATGTCCTGTCTGCTCAAAAAACGTATATTTTGCAGAAGAAATAAGGGCTATGGGTCGTGCATTTCATAAACAATGTTTCAAATGCTGTAAGATTATGGCATATGACTGACCTTCGTTCTAGGTCAGTGTTCTAAAGCTCTAGACAGTTTCACTGCAAATGATCATAAGGGTTCTTTGTATTGCAAAAGTTGCTATACGAAGAACTATGGGCCAAATAGCTATGGTTTTTCAACGAACGGCACACTAATGAGAAGTATTTATGATCTCCGGTAAGTAATTTTTTTCTTTTTTAATGTCAATTTTTAATTATTTGAAAGTTTTCTGCAAGTAACAGATATAAAATACCATTGATGATAACCAATGTTTAAAACAGTTCAAGACATAATCTTCGGCTTCGGGTTTCTTCTTGAAAGTTTACTCTTTTGTGTATACTGGCATACACTGTTAATTCGATAATTCAGAAGAAAATAATAGGTGGCTTTCTACGTACATTCACACACATGTGACATTGCGTTATGTCAGGATGTGAGAGGATAATCTAACTTCAAAGACTGGAATGTATTCTCATTTAATAAATGCTTTTACGCTGTTGATCTGCTGCTTTCCAGATAAGATTAAATGAATATACAAAGAGGAAAACCAATAAACTGTATTTAGCAATTCAGAGAGCATCGGATGCAGAATTAAGCAACCGTAAGAATCGCCGTTTGCGGGGTCCATTATCAACGATGCTCAGCACATACCAAATTAGTTATATACCATAACTACATGAATCTTTTATAGCGATATTATCTATCATTCAGTAATCGTCTGTTAATGTAATTATAAAGACCAATAATAATTGCTCATTCATTATGAAGTTTGGATTTTCCATGCAATTGGTAGTGAAAGTTTGTCGGTAGTGTTCTAGGTAGTTTATGCAATGATTAGATGATTTATTTCTTATTCAGCCTGAAAGGTTTACCAAAACTGTGGGTGGGAAATTTTTTAATACATCATTAGGTCTTAAAAGGAGCAAGTAAAGAGAACGCATCAAATTTCTTTGGCAATCAATAGAGATCTTCAATTTCCTCATCTTGATTTCACAGCTTCTTCATATTGTTTATCAATTTAAAACACTAGAAAGTTAAATTTACACAAGTACACAGAAAATCATCCGAGAAAAGCTCAAAAATGGCACCTCAAACTGTAGTCAGTGTTGTTGAAATCGATCGTCAATAAGTTAAACTCATAATTCAAATATAGTAGGATATTATTTATGAAGGTATCTAGGACCGAATTTGTATAATTTTCTGGCAAAGCGTTAATGGGCGGTAACCATTATTGTGGTAAACTAATAAGCCCAACAAACTGTTTACGACACCGAACACATAATAACTGGGCAAACTTGGTCCGTCACATCTGTGATCATGTCATTTTGATAATTATGTTTTTCGAGTAGTTGCCTGTAACCATAGTAAGCCTCATTCTTGTTTACTAGATAGATTATCAGGGGATGATTGAAATATATGCACAATGCGGAAGAGAGAGTTTATCAGTTGTGTTAACGGCAGTTGGAAAGCCGTTTTTAAATTTGCAGTGTGAGAAAAATCTGCAACTGATTTCGTCTCCAAAATAAGCATTTGAAGATATTATTTAAGTGAAGGATGATCAGTACAGATATTCAACTACTGTTATATTTGTGTTTTTGCTATATAAACGACCTAGCTATTCCTATTGCTTAGTATTCTTATACGATGCTTAGTCCAATCTATATCCCACTAACAACTACCATCATCTTCATCACCTACCAATAAACACTAATCTATGTTGTGTCGGAAATAAACCTTTCTTTGATTACAGAACGAATACATAAAAAAAATTCCAACTCCTTATGTTTTTCCTAACTTAAACAAGGAACACGGGGTCTTGGAGAGCAGTATTCATCTGACAATTTTATCCAACGTCTTGCTGATTTGACGCAAAATATTTTGATTCTATGAATTTTTTGTAGTGAAATGTATAAGATGAAGCCTAACTAAATAATGTTAAGTAGTTTAATGTGGTCCACATGAAGCTTCGTCTAGTCTAGGTCTTTCGTTAGTTGATATCCCTCAGCAATATGCATCTACAACTTCGGATGAATCAATGTTCCAGTCAGAATTCTCAATTTTAGTAACCTTTTTATACGTGCTTAGTTGTTCAAACTGCCGCAGATAGAACAAACCTGAGCCCAAAATTTGTCGTCTAAAATTTTTACCTACTAACTTTCCGTTATATGTCAATGTGAAAAAAGATAAAACCAATAATTTCAGCTCGAGTAAAAATGTCATATCTTAAATTGAGTAAATACTAAAATAAAGTTAGCTCCTTTCAAGACTTTGGACAACATGTTGGTGATCTCAATTTTTAACCCCTTAGCTACGGGGTTAAATTTTATCGTACTAGGATTTTGACAGTTAAATAATATAATCAATTCTCCTACACAAACGTCTCTCAATAAAAAGTGGCTGAAACTGTGGGTGTATATTGTTTAGCATACATCAATCCTTCACCTGTCTAAATCGGACGAAAAGTGTTCGGCTAGAAAATGGCAATATCTGAATGGTTTTGGATTTTCAAATAACGAGAGACATTTGTTGTATCATTGAACAAGAATGAAAACTTAGTCAGATAATAAGATAGTCTTTTTGATTATTTTATTTGCTTAAACTGAACAGTCATATTTATATTTAATTTATCTACTCAGAATAGTGGTCTATAATAAAAGAAAATAATGTTGAATAGTGCGAAACATTTATATGATATCGTATGGTAAATTGTTTGTAAATATCGGATATTAAAGGGAACTTATGTGGTGGTTCAAATGTGTAGTACGTATTTCCATCCACCGACTACCTTGAAACGCAAAGATGGCTGATATAGCAACAGGTTGGAAAACCTTTTCTAGAAACGACCATATCAAGAAATGGCATTAGTCCATGGAGACACTGAATGTTGGATTGAGCCATGTAAGTAGATGTAGACTATGTGGTTAAAGGTCTTCATGACTAGTGTAATCACTTTTCGGGTACTTCAGGTGGCACAGGTCAAAATCATTGACATTGATAAAGGTGTATTCAATTATTGTCTTCATTTAAACCCCGCGTTTCGAATTTCCCCAAAACGTCTTCATTATTATACTAATTTATATTTGCTCTCAAAATCGGGTCTCCGGTGCCTAATCTTCCCTGTAGCCATTATTAACGTAATTACCTCCAATGCTCTACTACTTACCATGACGATTCCATCTTGTTACGTTAATAGGGTATAGCAACTTGAACTGATATGCACATGTTTCATGTTCCACATCGCTTTTGACCGAATGACTGCAGTAATCAAAAGGCTTATGAACAATTTAAAGTTGAAGATAGCTGTTCACTCGATAGATGTTAAGGACGGAAATATTAATACCGGAGCATCCATTTCATTCTGGTCAGTCAGTTACCTTAGAATTTTTCCTTAAAGGGAACAAAAATGAATAAACTTATGTTCAACAGGGGCTACAACTATTCACCGACTGCAGCCCAACCTTCAATTACAAAGAAGTTATGTTCAGTTCCTTCTTTTACCATCGTCTTATTGAGGAAGAAAGACATATATGAAGCAATTTTAATCTCAAGGTTTAAGGGAAGATAATGAGTATATACATCTGTACCATTGTGTTCAATTCTAAGTCATGTCACCCATAGTCTACAATCATTAGTTATGATGATCACGCGAAACAAAGTATTTTAAAGATGTTTGATATCATGATGATATTTTGACAGGAAAAAGTTACCTCCAGTGTGAACTGATAACAGCGATCGGAAAATCTTCAGGTGGGAGTAACAGGCGTAAGTAACTAAGTAAGATATACTCAAAAGATACTATGAACAAAGAAATAGAGCTTATGTGTAATATATTGATTAAAGTAGGTTACCTGCTAAGTTTTCTGAAGAAGTATAAATATGAAGTGAATAAGTAGATAGGGACATGGGTCGTTTGTAAAAAAATGCTCTTCTTGGAACTATGGCTCGACATATACATGGTATGACGGATTAATTAAAATAGAGTAATGAACTTTTAATGTAACTAGTTTCTGTTTATTGATTTCTAGTTAATTAATGATGATCCGTCAACTTAAGCGCAATTCACTTAATTTTTTCACACCAATATAGACATTAATGCTGTTGGATGCCGGCCAACTCAGTGATCTAGTGGTTAAGCGCTTGCGCATGAGACTGATAGACCATGGGTTCGAATCTCGCGAGGTGCGATCGTAGATGTGTAAAAAAATTATGAAAATCTCCACAAAACCCCCCCTCCAATATATATTTTATGATTTAAATGATTTTTTGAAGAAATTTACATCCATAATAATGCAAAACAACTTATCCAATATTTTATATAGTTGAGATCATGAATCAATTAAAACTAGATCATCATAGAAAACCTGGAAGCACTGAATGTCCGTTTTGTCTTATTTTGGAACTCCTCAACAGTGAGCATCCACGATCCCACTTTGAGAGATTCCAACCCAGGACCTACCAATCTCGTGCTAGAGCACTTAACCGATAAACCAATCTTCTAAAAACAATGGTTCTTTCATAGTTCATAATGTTTTAAACAATGATCACTCTCTCATTCCATCTTATTTCAATTTGATCAATAATAATAATCATATTGAATAGTATTCAAAAAAGTGGTTAATTAAACACTTTTTTTTTTCTTCAAATAAAGTTCATTCTTGTTACTTAGTTAAGATTGAAACTATTAAGAACTCAGGCTAAACTAACATCAGATTTTATTCTTTATCAGAAGAAAAAAGAACCATCTAACTCATTATATATACCCCCCCCCACTCAAAGTTCCTTTTTGATTTCTGTTACTATGTAGATACCATATATCTTTGTTTTACATAATTGTTTTTTCATGATTAATATTCTGATAAGTTGGATTCTACCATTTTTGACCTACTTCCTAAAGTAAATAGATTTTGTTTATACTAATATACTACTTATTATTATTCTTACATAACTAACATATTTGTCTGAATTTAAATCTTCCCATTGATTTGTATGATTGAAATTGATAAGTCTCTTTTTGGTATATGTGCATACTGTACGTATTGCTTCGATATAGCCTTAATTTACAACCATTAAAAGTAAAGATGGATAGTGGATAGCAGTGGAATCCAGTTTGACGCGCGTTCCATTCTATTTGGCACTCATTAGCTGGATGTACCTACATCTTAGAGTTGATGTTCACCCTGGAACTCGAACCAAGTACCGTTCACTTCAAACGCCATCGCGTTATCCAGTCATCTACTGAATCCTGATAGCCACTTGCTTGTGCAATAGGGTGAAGTCTGAATTCACTTAGTATTGTTTGTTTGAATCTTCCCATTGATTTTTATGACTGAAATTGATCAGTCTCTCTTTTATTGATATATATGCATCCTGTGCGGACAGTCTTGATACTGTCTTAAGTCACAAGATTTATAGGCAAAGATGGATGATAACTAGCAATGGAATCCAAGACACGCGTTTCGTCCTATTCGGGACTCATTAGCTGGATATACCTGCAACAGTATATAATATCCAGCTGACGAGTCATAAATTGGACGGAAATCGTGTCTTGGATTTCATTGCTAGACACCATCCATGTGATCAGTCAATCAGCTACAACGTAGGACCATGCACATATATTGCACCGGTTCAACTTGTCACACCTCATTAACACAACAAGATGAACACCGGATTCATAGAAGTAGTTAATTTAGTGGTGGTAATATATAAAAGAAGAGTTGTATATAAGGATATAGCATAAGAAGAAAGACAGATATGAAGCAATTTTAATCTCAAGTTTTAAGGGAAGATAAATAGTGTATACATCTACGCCATTGTGATCGATTCTGAACCATATCACACGCAGTCTCCAACTATTGATTACGATAGTCACATGGATCCCAAACAAGTAGTCTGCGTCCACCAAAATGGCCAAGTCTAGAAGTTAATGACTTCAAGCACTGATGACACGTTTTGGTTTGACCGCTCCTAACTTTCTTCCAACCATCCCCAATACTAGTCAGCATTGCGCGTTGTGGTAATCGGTATTCAGGCATATGTAACAAGTGGATCAACCATCTCAGTCGATGAAGATTTATGACCTCATCAACTGATTTACCATCATTCCCTAATACCCTGTGTCTAACCTCACTATTACTTACCTGATGAACCCAGCAGATGCGAGCAATATTTCTAAGATATTTGTGGTCAAATACTAGTAGCTTATGAATATATTCTACTGTTAATGGCCACGTTTCGCAGCTGTAAAGTAGAACAGTGAGAACTGGTGTGCAGTATACTCGTCTCTTAATTGATAGACTAATATCTCGTCTTCTCTATGGGTGACGTATGTTGGCCAAAGCCAAACGAGCATTTTGAATCCGTGCTGAGATTTCATCAGACACCAACACATTAGGGCTGATCAGACTTTTAAGATAAGTGAAGTTGTCGACGCGTTCTATTACTTCACTCCCTATCCTTAGTTCAGGTATTGAGGCAGGCCAGTCTTGGAGTAACAATTTACATTTAGAGGAGGAGAAACGCATCCCAAACGTCCTGGCATTATTACTCAGTTCTAACAGAAGTCTCTGCATTTTGTCAGCGGACTATGTCATCTGCGTATTTTAAGTCGATAAGTGGACCTCCTGGAAGGAGATCAATTCCTGTAAATTCAATCGACGAGAGTGTTATTTCCAGCAGTAGGTCTATGATGAAGTTAAACAAAAGTGGGGTTAGTGGACAATCTTGTCGAACATCACTTGAGGTTGTAAAATCAGATGATCAAGATCTAGTAGGCCGCCATATCGTTATATACACTGTTCTAATCTACATACTATTGACATTGTTAACATTTTAAAAACCTAAGATAACTTGAATCATTATGATCTTTTTGGAATAGTTTCATTCTAGTACTAACCAGTGGACGTTGCAATATTCTACCAAAGTCAGGAAATATGCTTTCCGAACTATAGAAGTTTCTAATCATATTTGCCTACTAGTTCTTGACCTATAATTCAATTACTCTTCTAGATTAACTTCCGGCAATTTTTCTATTAATGAATTGTAAAATCATTGCATGAAGTAGTACTTAGATAATAAGTAAATAAGAAAACGTAGAAACAGTGACAAGGCAGGTTAAGAACTCGATTCCCGACGAATTTCAGGGCTATCTTAATTTTGAAATGGTGAAGAAGATTTGTAGCTCAGGTGGATGATTTTGATGGAGTTTTGTTCTCTCAGCTGAATGATTTGGTCGTGGAGCTGTCATTGTCCTTCTGAACGACATCATCAGCAGCACAAACTTTGGGTAGAAGTGAAGTGTTTGAATTTCTCCTTATGTGATTCATAGCTTGTCCTATGCTAATGATGTCGTTCAGAAAGACGGTGAAAGCTCCACGATCAAACCATCCAGCTCAGAGAACAAAACACGATCTTAATCTGTCTCCAAGTTTGTAAATTGACGTTTTTATAACTTCCCTTCACATTTTTAATGAGCAGAACTGTATAGATTTATATATATATAATGGATAAATCAGTGCAATAAACCAGGGTGGAATGTATAGCAACTTTTAATTACTCATCATTTAAATGAGGTTGTCTAAATGTCTTTTTATATAACGCCCATTTTTTTGGTTCACTAACTAAATACTATAGTATCAGAAACCAGATTTTGTGGAGATTGTAGTAAATTAATAGTTGAATTCATGAATCAATTAAAGCTAGACAACCATAGAAAACATGGAATCACTGGATGGTCGTTTCGTCTTATTGTGATACTCCTTAACAGTGAGCATCCACGATCTGCCTCATGAGATTCAAACCCAGGACCTAACAGTCTCATGTGTGAGCGATTAACCTCTAGATCACTAAACCGGGATTCAACAGTGCCAATGTCTAACTTCAATTATTCCATGAAATTGAGCGATACATCCTACCATTGTCTTCAGTGAGATACTATCTCACAACAGGCCTGGTTGAACTCAACTGGTCATTGCTTCTCACTAAAAAACAATTAGAGAGTCTTACGATCCACGATCCCGCCGTCCAGTGCTTCTAGGTTTTCTATGGTAGTCTTGCTTTGATGGATTCATGATTTTAACTATACAAAATTACTAAAATCTCCACAAACTCATTTTTTGAAAATATATGAGTAGTTCATTTATTTCTGAAGTATATAACATGATTATGTTGTCTAGACTCATTATATACTACTTAATTCATTCTATTAATTTTAATCGTATAATATATAAAATGATAAATGTCATTGTTCCTTGTAACTGATCAATATTACGTTATCTATACCTTTGAAAAAGATTCCACTGATTCCAAGCACTTCCAGGTTGCATTTCCTCATTTCCGCAGCAATTTGGAAGACTCTGCCGGTCTCCCACATTGTCCGGACATTCCATGTACCTATAAAAATTGTCGCTCTGGTTGTAAGAAGGTGTATCGGCCTCATGACTTCCGAAGGAACTCGGCTTTCATCATGAGACGTCATTATTCCTTCTACTCCCAGGGCAGAGTTTGAATGGTTTGAATGATTTTTTCTGGTTAGCGTTTTTTTAGCGAGTTGATTTTCTACGGGATGGGGTCGCTAACCCCATGCCCAACCCTCCTCCTTTACCCGGGCTTGGGACCGGCAGTAGCCCCTGGAGGAGCTACAGGCGGAGTTCTTTGAAAAAGAGAATCTAACATATTATAAGCAAAGATGGATAGTCGCTAGCAATAGAATCAAGGACACGCGTTTTGTCCTATTTGGATTCGTCAGTTGTGGACGTACATGCATCTCAGACTTGTTGATGTTCACTCTGGGACTCGAACCCACTGTACATTTCGTTTCAAACACCATCCATATATGGCCAATAAGAGACTGATCAATTGTAGTCCTAAACATCACTAGGAAGATTCAAACAAACAATACCAAAGGAATCTAAAATAGTTACATTCAAAGGATAAACACAATAACTTTAAACTGTGAACATGATATTGTGTAGTTACCAGTTTTATAATTCAACCAATCAGTATTGTGGTGTGGTCTACTTATATCCATATAAGTAGTATATTGTGATGGTCAGACATAGAATGTATTTTGGTAGAAGATCGATAAAGAAAGAACAAAAATGAAGTGCAATTGGTATGAAAATGCATGAACAATGGAATCAGTGAGGATGGACTGATATTTGCAGAAGGAGCAGTCAAGATTAAGACAATTGATTGATAGTTTGCAAATTAACTGCTTACTGTATGGTTATCAGAATGTAGTGAGATAATCTGTAATTTGTACTTAATTACATTCGATTGTCCCCCCCCCATGGTGTTCTTGTTCACTACAGTATTATGAATTGTCAGTACTTAATCGAAGACAATTTATAAAAAAAGGAAAGAAAAATGGTGAGACTATGAACGAACCAATCAAATTTAAGATAACAGATCTTGGATTTTGGCACCGAATTCATTCTCCCCATAGGACTGAATACTATTTTGACATTATAGTTTATATCAGTTCGTGATGAAACGTGATCTAAATTCTAACTCTCCATACAGAGATTTAACTCTCATTTAACCGTAGTAAGTAAGGTAGATAATTCAAGATCATTTTAACGTTGCCAAAAGGTTGTCCATAAGTGATAGTCACCCCCAAAAAATTAATGCTTTTAAATATTTTCGAAAACTATCCCTTTACATAACGTGGTCTAGTGAATAAGTGCTTGTGCGCGAAACCGATAGGTCTTGGGTTCAAATCTCGCAAGGCGGGATCGTGGATGCGCACTGCCACTGAGGAGTCCCATAATAGGACGAAACGGCCATCCAGTACTTCTAGATTTTTCATAATGGTGTAACTTCAATTGATTCATGAATTCAACAACTAAACTTAATGTATTCTTCTTCTTTTTTTTTGTTACTATCCTATAGAGATTGTACTAAAATGAATGGTTATTCACATTTCCACAGTCCAATAATAAGGTAAGTCTTTCTTTGTAAGCACAGATGGATAGTGGCTAGCAGTGGAATCCAGTTTGACTCACGTTTCGTCCTATCTGGGACTCGTCAGCTGGCCGAGTGGATAACGCGATGGCGTTTGAAGCGAACAATACTGGGTTCGAGTCCCAGAGTGAACATCAACAAGTCTGAGATGCAGGTATATCCACAGCTGACGAGTCCCAAATAAGACGAAACGCGCGTCAAACTGGATTTGATTGCTTACCATGCTTGTGAATCAAGGCTATATCGAGGCAATACGCACAGTATGCACATATGGCCAATAAGAGACTGACCAGTTGCAGTCCTAACACATCTATGAGAAGATTCAAAATAAAACAATCCTAAATGAATTTAAGTCTTTCTTTGTTTTAATCTGTTTTCTGTTTGCTTTTGCTAATGTAGTCAATCACAAAATTATCAATCCCAAGATCGTTTAAATAATTTAGAGAATAATGGAAATTATATACCACGAACTAATCGAACTAGATGGCCAAGTGGAAATTATGGATTAAATCGTTGTGCTAATTGTCCTGATATTGTTTATGCAAATGAAAGAATAGATGCAGTTGGCAAAGTATTTCATCGTTTATGCTTTAAATGTACTGATTGTCAACGTCTTCTTGATAGAGGAACAGCATGTGATCATAATCGTGAAGTATTTTGTCATAGTAAGTTAATAGATTTTAATAATTATTTTTTAATAGTTGAGATTATCAATCAATCGAAGCTAGATCATCATGGAAAACCTGGAAGCACTGGATGGCCGTTTCGTCTTAGTGTGGGACTCCTCAACGGTGCACATCCACGAACCCGCCTCACGAGATTCGAATCCAGGACATATCAGTCTCACGCGCGAACGCTTAACCTTTAGACCACTGAGCAGGCCGACATCCAACGGTGTTAATGTCCAGCTTCAACCGATCTACGAAATTGAGCGACACATCTACTATGGACGAAACAGCCGTCCATTACTTCTAGGTTTTCCATGGTGGTCTAGCTTCAATCGACTCATGATCTGAGCTATTGAAAATACTATAATATCCACAAACCCCTTTCTGATATTAATTACTTTTCAGTTATTATTATTTTAAATCATGAATCAATCCAACTTAGTCATTTTATATAGTTAAAATCATGAATCAATCGAAGTTAGACCATCATGGAAAACCTGGAAGCCGTTTCGTCCTATTGTGGGACTCTTCAGCAGTGCGCATCCACGAACCCGCCTCACGAGATTTGAACCCAGGACCTACCAGTCCCGCGCCACATCACTTAACTGATAGATCACTGAGCCGGCATCCAAGGGTGTTAATGTATAACCTCAACCAATCCATTGTCATAGTTGTTAAACAAATGAATACAGGAAACCCTTCTTTATCTAGTTTTCTTGGTAACTGACCATAGTAACTATAATAGTGGAACAGTTTATATTCTTTGTCTAGAATGACCATGTATACTTTATAAACACACCATTTAGCCATATAAACATAAATCTATCGAAACTACCTACTAGTAATATGAATTTCCTTCTTTATCTCGGTCCTGAGCAATGCTTTTCAGTTCTTTCCAGTTGCTATTCATCCTTTTGATGTTTGCTTTCAATTCCAGATGTAGTGTGTTCTTTGCGCTTCCTCTTTTCCGTTTTCCTTCAGAATTTCAAGTTGGTGTTTGCCTCGTGGTGCAGTTTGATGATTTCCTCAATGTATGCCCTATCAACTTCCAACTTGTTTTTCTAATTTCCTTTTTAGATGGAAAGTCGTTTGTCCTCTCCCATAGTAGGCTAGTTGTAAATAGTAATCGAATTAATACAAACTATTTAAAAAAAACCTAAATTTCAATATAGGGTTGTGATGATTACTACGTTTTGATGAAGATCATGAATTGATCAATAGTAGAGCACCATTAAAAACCTAGAAGCACCAGACATCTGTTTTGGATCTCGTGGATGCACACTGTCGAGAAGTCCCATACTTAAATTAGACAGTTGTCCGATGCTTCCAGGTTTTGAATGGTGTTCCAACATAGATCATTTCATGATCTCCTCTAGTAACCCCCAGGCTAAATCTACACAGTAACTTGAACACGAGAGAAATGGTATGAAAAGTGAACGAAACACTTTACTCTAAAGGTTCGTTTATGTACAGAAAATCTAGGGTTCTTATAAACATTTAGATGGAATCGGACTTCTGGAAGGCTTTGGAATGCTATTAAATATGGTAGCTGTGTAGATAACCATCCAGTCAGAAACGCGACATGTGACTTTTCACTTTCTGGATGTTTATGACAAGACTTCTATTGAACGCTGACAGGATAAAATGTTTTTTCAGCGTTTTCAGAACAGTTTTCAACTTTTTTTCGAGGAATTTTCTGGATCTCTTCAACAGTTTCCCTCCTTTTCTTTGTTTGAAAACTCGACATTTAGATCCTGATTATATATATATACATGACTTAAAAATACTCTGACATTAATAAGAAGCTTACATATAGTGGTTTGTTTTTTATATATAGTTGAAATCATGATTCAATTGAAGCTAGACCACCATAGAAAACCTGCAAGCACTGGACGGTTGTTTCGTTCTAGTATAGGACTCCTCAGTGGCAGTGCACATCCACGATCCCACCTCGCTGAGATTCGAACCTAGGACCTATCAGTCTTACGAGCGAGGCTTACATGCACATCATTACATACCAGCTCAGTGGTTTAGAAATTAGATATTTTGTTTATAAGATTCTATATTCAATCCCCCTCTCCCCCCCCCACGGTTGTAAGATCATAGATACTCATTACAAAAGAATCATACATTAAGATGAAAGAATCATCTAATCCTTCTAGTTTCTAGATTAGTTCACAAATTTGAATAACTTTTCAAATAATCTCTCTATACTTTCATATAATTTATGTACATAATTGTTCATGTGATTAACTAAATATCATTATGATTATTATCAAATTAATATACAGCATCACAATGGTTTCATTGTATCCAATGTAGATAATATTGCTAATTAGGTGTATATTAATGCGGAATTGTATAGAGATTGTTTTCAAAGTTAAGTTGATAATGACCTATATATGTAATGCATACATACATACATGTAGGTTTATGTATATGTTACATTACTTACTTACTTACTTACTTACGACTGTTACCCCTAATCGAGCTAAGGCCGCCGACCAGCATTCTCTATCCCGATATGTTCTAGGCTTTTCTTTCTAGTTCTGTTCAACTTTTGTTCATTTTTCACATGTCTGTTTCCATTTCTCGGCGTAATATGTTTTTTAGTCTTCCTCTTCTCCTTTGGCCTTCAAGATTCCACATACATATAGGTTCATATATATGTCACATTACTTACTAACGCTTGTTACTCTCAATCGAACATAGGTCGCCGACCACCATCCTACAACCCACTCTGTCCTTGGCATACGTTTATAATTCTATACAATTGTTATTCATTCTTCTCATATCTGTATCCATTTCTCAGCGTAATGTTTTCTTTGATCTTCCTCTCCTTCTGTGGCCTTGAGGATTGCATGTGAAAGCTTGCCTTGTGACGTAATTGGGTGTTTTCCTCAATGTGTGTCCTATACACTTCCAACTCTTCTTCCTGATTTCTTCCTCCACTGAAATCTGGTTTGTTCTCTCCCACAGAACGTTGTTGCTGATAGATAGTATCTGGTCAACGGATCCGAAGTATTTTGCGTAGACAAACTGTTAATAAACACTTGTATCTTCTGGATGATGGTTTTCGTAGTATTGTATTGCATAATATTATTAAATTCTGTAATACAAATTATAGATCAGAAGGGCTCTTGTGGGGAATTTAGTATTTTCATATATGAAATCATGAGTCAATCGAAGCTAGACCACAATGGAAAACCTGAGAGTACTGGATGACCGTTTCTTCCTATTATGGGACTCCTCAACAGTGCGCATCCACGATCCCGCACTCGTGAGATTCGAACCCAGGACCTACCAGTCTCAGACTTCTGAAAAGTCCCATAATAGGACGAAACGGCCGTCCAGTGCTTCCAGGTTTCCTATGGTGGTCTAGATTCAATTGACTCATGATTTCAACTATGAAAATATAAATTATATCATCACAATAAGAATGTTAAACAAATATTCATCCAATAATTGAATTCGTCATCATCTCGTCCTAGTGCGATTCCACGATTCCGCTCGCGAGGTTTGAACTTCTAGACTACTGATCTTGGCATCCAATGATGTTAATGTCTAACTTCAACAAATCCATGTAATTGCGATACCCTCCACTATTGTCTTCACACGGTTGAACTCAATGGTCACTGTTCCTCATTCATAGTATTCTAAAATCAGTTAATTGGAATATGCCTTTTTTCAATCAAGTTTCTCTTAAATGATTCATTCAATCAACCCTGGTAATTAAGTGGTCTATTTAGCGTCACTCAAAGATCATCCATAAATTACACTCTTACCTCTACATCTACTATTTCTTCTGTAGCTTAGTATCCTAGACTTGACCATTTATACAAATATCCTGCACATTTAACCTTGAGCCGACTCAAACTGAGCCCTTATTGATCCCCTATGCTACAGCCTTCCTCTATCTATACCTTGGCTTGAGTCCAAAGAAAGGTCGGCAGTCAGTTTTTATTATTATTATTACTACAGTTATTAGTAATATTAGTACTATTGTATTTCGAGCATGTGTGTTTACTCATGATAAATCACAAATATACATAAAACAGTCTAAAAGTGACTGTGAATAACTGGTCGGCAATAAAGTAGAGATAACAAAGAGTACGATATTCGTTAACAAGTTAAACGAAAGGTTATGCTAGACAAACTATACAAGCATAATAGTTAAGTTGCTTGGTAGTTATACAAAGAAAATAATAATAACAACCCAGAGTCCCAGAGTGAACATCAACATCTGAGAAGTAGGTACATCCACAGCTGACGAGTCCCAAATAGGACAAAACGCGCTTCACGAATTCCACTGCTAACGACTATCCATCTTTGCTTACAATCTATAAAATAGTTTTGAGAGTTATCATTTCTTCAATCTTCACTGTGATACATCAACCCCACTTTTTTCAAACGTTATGGACATTACAGATCATAGGTATATATTCGTACTCGATATGACTTATATTCGATACATTTTGATCTCCATGGAGATGCTGTTCATTTTTTCTTCGAACCACCTGAATCATTATTAACTTCTATGTTTGATGGTATAGTGGACTTCCTAGCACTTTCTTTCTCTCAATTTTTGTCTCGTAGGTCGAAGTTAGTTTCTTTGTCTTACCCACTTTTTTCTCAGTAATTTCATTTCACAAATGATATCTCGTCTTGTGTGTGTGTGTGTTATAATTTCGAGCTTTCATAGTTCTAAAATAACCTTGAAAGAGTGAAGGTCATTTATGAAGTCAATATTAAAAGGAATAAAATGAATACAATATGCAAATCAACTTCGACTGATTAGAAAGGTTAAGAGATAAAAAGTTATGTAAACTCCATTACACCATCAAGTAGTAGAGAGTATTATTGCGATTGAAGATCTCACTGATTAGCGTTTTTTTAGCGAGTTAGTTTTTCTATGGGATGGGGTCGCTAACCTCATGTCCAACTCTTCTCCTTTACCCGGGCTTCGGACCGGTAGTAACTCTAGAACAGCTACAAAC